TTGTTAATTTAGCAATGCCTTAGCTTGAAGAACAGGGACACAACTAATGACAATAGCATATGTTTGTATATTATTTAGATATTCACACCTTTATCAGAAGAACCAAACCAACATAAAATGTGCTCACAGACAGGCCAGTTCTATCTAATTTATCACAATTATTTTTGACATGAGATCTTCATATCATCCTAGTTTTGTATTTAGTTTCTAGATTTGTAAACAAATCCAGAACCTTTGAAATATGTTATTGAAAAAAGACCAAGAATAATATAAACTGTACCATGTGTCCTTTTATGTCCTTCTGTAGTCCATTTGTGGTTTGTCTTGTCTCACCCCGGCTGATATATCACAAAATCCACTGTTTAAATTGTTCCCTATATTGCCCCTGTAAGGTGTCCTTGGGTGTTAGGAAAGGCGGCCCCCAACATAAATTTATTATTATTATTATTATTAAGAAGAACAACTTGGTGTGGTGTGGAGGGGATGTAGGAAGCAGGAGCAGGTGGGGAGATATGGGGCTTCAAGGTTCAAGGTTATTTGTTTTAAATGTGTCTTGGAGATAAGGACCAGCTGCACACAATAAAATACAGTACAACACAAAACCAATAAGACACACGGTGACACATGGCACACCAACAATCAATCATCGTCCAGCCTCAGCTTTGGTATTCTTTCACAACCATGTTATGGGGTTATTAGACTGAGCAAACATAAACATATGTGGTGATCCCACGGGTTCTTGTTTGCAGACAGCGGCGATTGGAGCATCCGTAGGTTGCACAAAAGTCCGGCATAGTCAGGTACTTCTGTAAACACAAAGCCAGCAAATTCCTGTATCATAATGCAAGATGTTTTTAACAAGCCTAACCACTTGGAAGAAATCATGTGTAACTTAAGTTATGTTGAAAAGAAAGAGCAGTTCTGCCTCTCCCACTGGTGTAAAGTTGCTGGGTGAACTTTGTAATACTAGGTCTCACTCACAGCCCCTTGTTATTAGCCAGCTAATAAATACAACCACATACACAAAGAAAAGCTGCAATTTCAACATGTCCAAGCATCCTGTATCATAGCCATGCTAATAATGTTTATAATAAACCAAACCGTTTGTAAATCAGTCAAGATTTCAGCGAGTTAAGAGTATTTTTGTGCAGATCACTCACCTTACAACAGCTACCATAACGCGAATCAGAGTAACTGTTGACTGTAGCAAGATGGCGGCCGGTCAGCTACGCTGGAAAATCTCCCATGATGAGCCATCTAGTGTTTATATTAGTGCTGTCAAAATTATCGCGTTAACGGCGGTAATTAATTTTTTGAATTAATTGCGTTAAAATATTTAACGCATTTAACGCATGTGCAGAATGGCCCGCCCCATACGTGCCACAGTGGCAGCGCCAGGGTATGGCTGGGGTAGGCTACACCCATACCAAGAAATGGCTTAGCCCCACCATGAAAAATGATGTTAAAGTAAGCAAAATATAGTCTGCCAACTCGCGCGGAGTAAATTGCACAGACAGCAGTTAGTAAGATTGATTTCAGTAGCCACGGTTTTGAAAACTTTTGTCACATAGTGATCGTCTTCTCAATAGAACATCTTTGATAACGGCGTGGTGTTGTTGCAGGAAGTCCCGACAGAGAATACTTTTGCTGTAGTAGGCCTACAGGGGTGCACATAACTGGTACGCAGGTTATGTGCGTAATCTGAAATGCGTACCGTCACTTGTGTCACAAAGCACATTTGCGTACCGACGTACTTGTGAAGCTTTTCCAGAAGGCGGTTAGATCACCGGACGACAGAGTCGGTCTCCATGTGCACAGACAGGGCTGCTGTTAACGTCGGTCTGTACAACGGAACTGTGCCAAAACTACGCCAACCGGCTACGGAGGGAGACTCCCCCCCCCCCCCCCCTTCACTGGAGAACTGCGCTAAAACAGCTGATCACAACGTTCACACTGTGGTCACGAAGTACTCCACTAGCCGCCGCGCCCCCCGACCCCCCCCTGTTGGTAGAAATCAACACGTAATGAATTAAGACCCCACTGTTTGATGATTGATAGGCTGTCTTTCATTTTGACATGCAGAAAAATGTTATAATAAACATAGACAGGCTACTGTATGTTAAATGGATATATCCGCCTTCTTTCATTTATCTTTCCATTCCCACAACAATATACATAAATAAATGGCATATTTTGGACATAGTTCGAATGGTGATTAATCATGATTAATTAATTTTTAAGCTGTGATTATTCTGATTAAAAATTGTAATCGTTTGACAGCCCTAGTTTATATATATCTATGCTTGGGCCCTTCTCCATCCATCCATCCATCTTCTCCCGCTTATCCGTGGTCGGGTCGCGGGGGTAGCAGTTCCAGCAGAGAGCCCCAAACTTTCTTTTCCCTGGCGACATCAACCAGCTCTGACTGGGGGATCCCAAGGCGCTCCCAGGCCAGCGAAGAGATATAATCCCTCCACCTGGTCCTAGGTCTACCCCTTGGTCTCTTCCCAGCTGGACGTGCCTGGAACACCTCCCTAGGGAGGCGCCCAGGTGGCATCCTAACTAGGTGCCCGAACAACCTCAACTGGCTCCTTTCGACGCGAAGGAGGAGCGGCTCAACTCCGAGTCCCTCCCTGATGACCGAACTTCTCACCTTATCCCTAAGGAAGACACCAGCCACCCTGCGGAGAAAACCCATCTCGGCCGCTTGTATCCGCGATCTCGTTCTTTCGGTCATGACCCATCCTTCATGACCATAGGTGAGGGTAGGAACGAAAATGGCCCGGTAGACAGAGAGCTTTGCCTTCTGGCTCAGCTCCCTTTTCGTCACAACGGTGCGGTAAAGCGACTGCAGTACCGCTCCCGCTGCTCCGATTCTCCGGCCCATCTCACACTCCATTGTTCCCTCACTCAAGAACAAGACCCCGAGATACTTGAACTCCTTCACTTGGGGTAAGGACTCATTCCCTACTTGAAGTGGACAGTCCATCGGTTTCCTGCTGAGAACCATGGCCTCAGATTTGGAGGTGCTGATCCTCATCCCAGCCGCTTCACACTCGGTTGCGAACCGATCCAGTGAGTGCTGAAGGTCGCAGACCGATGAAGCCATTAGAACCACATCATCTGCAAAAAGCAGTGGTGCAATCCTTAGTCCACCGAACTGCAGACCCCCTCCCCCATGACTACGCCTCGAAATCCGAGCCATGTATATTACAAACAGGATTGGTGACAAAGCGCAGCCCTGGCGGAGGCCAACGCTCACCGGAAATGGGTCCGACTTACTGCCGAGGACCCGGACACAGCTCTCGCTTCGGTTAAATTGATTCCTTGCGTCCCTCACTTGCGTCGTTTCCCTGTGACTAGTCCCTCCCACCAGGGAAGCATGGAGAGACGCAAGGAAACCATGAGAAGCAGGGAAATTAGTTTTAAGAGCAATGGGACGTACTTTCCTCCGGAGCGTCACGTGAAGCGACGTCCGTTTGTGATGACGCTGCACAGCTGATCGTCTGACAGCAGCTCTGTCCCCGTTATTTTCACAAACACCCCCGACTCTATGGTTAGCACACATTTACACAGTAAGGGGGCGGGACGAGTGTCTGAGGATTTCATCGAAGGATGGTCTGGTGGTTCCTCGAGCTCCTCTATTATCGCTCCTCGGTCCTCCGGCAAAAATAAGGCCATTGGGACGCTACTCAAGATGGCGCAGACAAATCAACTTCCAGTGAGACCGAGACCGAGGAGCGAGGAAATGAAAAATAAGAAAAGTGAGAAGGGCCCCATGTCTCGTTAAATATCCTTGCGTCAGAGTCTCACGTGTTGGGCGTGCTCTCTTCTGACCATATTTGGAAGTACAACTTCCGACAGGTTCAACCTCCACTGGCCGCGGCCGCAGCTGGACCCTTCTCGATAAATCAGTAGACAGATATGATGTGTTGTCTGTGTGTGGAGATGTTTGATGACAGCAGCAATGGACTGCAGAATCAGTCAGTACACTGTGACGGGAGCTTCAGTTGGGACAACTGTACTTAAACACTTAAGAAATTTGTAAGGTTCCATCATGTCTTTATGTTTTTAAAATAACAATTAGAAAGAGAAATCCTGAGTTTAAGGTGTTGTTGCAATTAATGTCCACTAGATGTCAGTAGTCTGCTGGAGTCCATGTTCAGAATGAATAGGTAACGGACAGTTTCAGTAAGACCATGTGATTGATTTCTTGAAAAATTATATAACCGGCTGAATTGATCTTTAACACTGTTAAAAAAAAGCTCAGGGTGGAATACAGGTCAGTCATTTATTCATTATTGTCAACTCCGCTGACCTGAAGATGAAGATAATGAATGACATGGACCGACTTCCCCTTGTTGTGTTTCCATCTATACTTTCTTCATCCAAATGTAATCATATGTTTTTAATTAGCTAAATATAAAGTTATGGGACGAATCAACACAAAAACACTAGAAAGCAAAACATGCACACACATCCTTAAAAACATTCTTTACTTCTAGTTTCTTGATAACAGTTTAAATGCAACTTTAAGTTAATCTGAATGCCTCTCACTTTCAGAGTCTGAACCTGTGATTAGCTGTGGATCAGACTGGATGTATGTGGACACACCTAGCCTCAGCAAACTGCAGTCAGCCATGCAAACCAAAGTGACTTCATGTGGCCCACGGTAAAGACAGTGACACACACATGCGCACACACACACACACACACACACACACACACACACACACACACACACACACACACACACACACACACACACACACACACACACAATGAATTACCTTTATCGTTTTTACATTCTTTGTTGAATTCAGAAACCCAAGACTTGAGATGAAGAAAAATGTTGAATAATGGAATAAGATGATTAATAAAAGTATAGTAAAACTATTTAAATTAATGAGGTGATGATATTTCTGTTTCCTTTAGAAGTTATTATACACTGTATGCTGTGATTCTGATCTGGGAAACATTAAAGAAATCCATAGCCAGTCTGCAGATTTGGTCTCTTTATTGAAATAGTAAAGTATACATGTTAACAATATATAGAATGAATGCTATTTTTTATTACGTAAATATGTAGAATCAGATACTTCACAGAAACAAAAGATTAGAAATTCTGAGTAAAATAAAGATTGTATATGATGCTAAAAAAAACGAAAATAGCACTTTTATATTGAATGATCTTTTAAGTGATAAATAAATGTAAATATATAATATCAGGTACTTAGTTGAAAGAAAAAAAAGTTGTTACAGATTTGTAGCAAAGAAAGTTACATATCATACTTGTTTAGGTAAGAAAAACAACCTGAAGGATAACCTACATGTTGACATTTAGACTGGAATATATTTAAAACATTAAAAATTGACAAAATCTAATAGATATAACTTTCTGGAAAACAATCACATATCATCCTTAACTTGATTCAAAGGTTTTTTATCATGTCTACTTGTTGACATGCTAAATATGAACTAAATGATCTTTTAACTGATTTAAACATGTTAAAATGTGGCATTTGATGCATCCCAAAATGAAAACTAGCATAACACATTTTGAATAAAAAGTACAACATGAACATTAAAATGTAAATATTTTTTAACTAAATTCTTAATTGGAACAAAAACAAAGATTTCAGGTTTTTGGTAAGAAAATGACATTTAGCACTCAAAAAGGTAAGAAGAAACTGCATGTGTAATCTACATGTTGACATTTAGATTGAATGATCTGTTAAACATATATATGAAACAAAAATAAGAATATATTCTAACTCTGGGAAACGGTCACATGTCAAACTGAACTTGATTACAACAGACTTTCTGTCATGTTTACATGTTGACTGTACCACCACTAAAACACAATGATTCATTCACTGATTTAAACATCTAAATGTGTGGCTTTTGATGCAGCTCAGAAAAGAAAAGACAACCATTCTGAATGAGTCAATAAAAATGTAAATAATAAGAATCAGATACTTATTTGAAATAAAAATAAAGACATTGTATAATCTTCATGTTGACATGAAGAATTAATGATATTTTAAAACATTGAAATTGTTAATATGTTTATGACGAAACCACAAAAAAACATAAAAGCAAATATTTTCGCATCGGAAATAAAAACACTCAATCAAATCAAATTTGATTAATTGATACTACAATAACAACCAAAAAAGAAGGATTCAAAGTTTGATTTAATCAAACTGAATTGTTTACAAATTCCTTGTCAGTTGTTGAAATATTTGGTCAACCTTGCCATCTCATAAACAGCATGTTACTTTGTGTGCTTCTCTTCATATAAATCAAGTGTAATCTAAATGTCCATGAGAGGATGCTGACTGTAATGAGGAGGACGTGACCCTCTGTGAGCTTGTAGTTTCTCATATGACAAGAAATGACTCTTTGAGGCTTGCCTCTGCTTGCTCTGGTGTGATTTCTTTCCAAGCTTCAGGAATATCAGCAGGCTTTGCAACGTATGCTGCTGCAAACTCATCATTGAACTTTGCCATTACATATTTCCAGTAGTCTGATGCCTGAAGGCTTGCATCTGCTTGGATTTTCCAGTCCGGATACATTTCTTTGTAGCCCTTGTAAGGGTGCGATTGATATTCCCTTTCAATGCAGAGAAAAGAAATGTCACTGTTTACTAGGGAAGAGCATATGTCAATGCAAAGTTTGTTGGTATTACTCCATCTGTATCGACCCAGAGCCTGTGGTCGATGAAGTGAAGCGAAGTGCTCAGTGTGGGCTGTTCCTCCTGCCTCACAGGGCGCTTTGCAGAACGGACATTGTTCACCACATCCAATCAGTGTGTTGAAAAGCTCGTCCTGAGGATTCACATGAAGGCTCTGTAGTTTAGTTTGGATGTCTGTTTTCTTAAACTTCTCTCTAAGAGTTTGTGCCATCTCCGTCACACACTCAGTGAGCCAGTGAGCAAACTGTTCCTGGTCGGCCTTGTTCAGGGTCATGAATGCCCCAAGAGCATCCTGGGAAATGACCAGTTTGTCAACAAGTTCCTGACAGATAACTTCAACAAATGACTTTATGTTGCCACTCTTTTCTGTTTTAGCTTTCTGGATAGCATTATTCATGCTGTTGACACATGACTGGAGATGTTGTTCCTCAAACACCGTAGACCCATTTGAGAAGCGTTCCAATATTTTGTTGAGTATCCATTCCTTCACATAATTCTCATAAGAGGAAATAAAGCTCTGATACTTTTCAAATGTATCCTCTGAGAGCAGATCCAGTAAAACTGAATACTGGAAGGACATTCTTGTGCTGAACTGCTCACTTGTCCTCATTTCACCAATGATATCAGGACCCAGGGAACGGTTGACAAAGTCTTCGACTGCAGGCTTCAAGCATCGGTCTGTGAATTCTTCTGCCTTCTTCTGGCACTGGTCTACATTATGGAACATGTTGTGGAAATAATTATCATAAGACGCCAATTAGTAACATACAGGACAAACCTTGATGTCTGTTTACCTTCTTTAAGGACACAGGCGGCTTAGCCAATAATGTTATTGTTCCCATTCTGTGACCGGTCAATACTGGGATACAGATGGTCTGTGTTGTGGGTACACTGGGACACTTCCTTCTCTGTATTTGTGGACTCCAAGGTAAAATCTTCGAGGTCATAAGTGTCCGAGGCAAGTAGCTCTGTGTTCCCACACTGTTTAGGCTATCTCCTCAAAATATGTTGTTTACTCTCTGCGAAACCAGTTAGATGGGCTGGCAAGAGAGAGGCTCTCCAGAATTGACGTGGCAACTCTACCGTGAAGTCAGAACCTCTGACTCTTGGACTTGTGATGTGAATCCTCCGGCCGTTAACTCCAAATAAACCATCATGTGTTTGACATCAAAGCTACTGCTCTTCCCGTGTCTCCTTCCTGAGTCGGTGACTCCCACTGCATAGCTACACAGAAGTTTCCACTACAAATTGGCGTTGTCGGCAGGATGCCAACAGATCTTCAGATTGTGGTAAGTGTGATTTTCAAATCTACTTTGGACATTGCCTTATCAGAGTCTGTGATTGACGGTATCCTAAAATTACCTGTGAAACTGATCGGCTGCGTTTCCTTTTGGTTAATGAACATTTGGGGATGATAAACCCAGGAGATCAGTGTCTGGGGACTCAGTCCTGGCTTATTTCCTCTGTGTATGCTGCTCGGGACGGAAGTGCCATACAGGCATACACAGCTCATGTTTAGAGATACCTTAAGGAAAGGGCATCAGTGAAGTGGAGCTTCTGTGTGAATTGAAAGCAATGTAAAAGATTTGTATTGGACAAATCGCCGGATTTTGAGGGTCTTAGTGGCTAAGCACAGCAGTTGAAAATAAGCAGCCAAAGATATTTGCTGCTATCACCTATCTGTAAAAACACGGCTCCAGCTGCAGGCTTGTGTGTGTGTGTGTAAAAGAAACCTCACCGTGTGTGTGTGGGGCTGGAGCAGTGCAGGCTGAGAGGGAGAAAGTCACAGCTTATTGCCTATAGGTTTTAACTCACGGCACCGCCGTCCTTCAAACGGGACGGTCTAAAAGCACTCGTTGTTTAGGACCGCTTTTCTCATGGTTAGACGGGCCAGCGCGAGGTGCGTGCATCACCCGATGCGCTACGGCTCTCTGGAGCAGGTGGCGGTCAGGAGTGCATACATAAAATTATAGGCTAATTGATCAGAGGTGTGTAGTGGCAAGCAAGCATAGGCAAACTGTGTTTCACCTTGAGGTGAACTCGATAGCAAGTGTATATAGGCTGGTCGTACGGACTACAGTCAACTGAGCTGTTGTTTGGAGAGAAAGGGCAGGGAAAAGTCTGTGGGCTCCGATCGGGGGGGCACAGCGCCACTAGAAACAAATAGCCTAGTGGTTGTCGCAAGAGGATAAGCTAGTTACCGCTCTTGGACGGCTTTCAGGCACCGATCAATAACTTGTATGCAAGGGTGAGGCGTGAGAAGACGCCGCACTGGAGAGAATTCCCCACCCCCTCTAAGATCTCTAAAATCCGGACTAAATTGAGCTGAAGAGCTTTGCTGTCGCGCTGGTGTTTATTAAGAGTTCATGTTTTGTTTGTCTGATTGTTTGTATGGGGGGTCTATATTGGTTTGTCCCGCCGTCTTGTGTATGTTTTGTAACAATAATGAATCAGTCCATAGACAGGGTAAAATGAACTAAACTTTAGTTATCTCACCAAAAGTAAATGACCTGAGAAAAATAAAAAGTGTTTTTATGTCCTGCCTCTGAGTGCAGGGGAAAATGTAAACAAGAAGCCCACTGTTAAGGGTGAGCGCTAGGTGTAAGAAGAAAATAAGATTATATTGCTTTAAGAATCCATTCTTAAATGGTATTGCTGGTATGTTAAGATATGTTTGTGACCCTGTATAAACCCTATGCCCGTCCTGCGCCCCGAGACCCTCAGAGACCTGCCTGAGGAGATCAGGGTTGCAAAATCTGGTTTTAGGTCAGTGTTGTATTATTTGTTTCATTTATTCTTAATCTATGTATTGTATAGTAATAATGAATAAAAACGTAATGTATTGAACACATTCCGAAACAAAGCAGATAAGCAGAACAAGACTCAGACATAATACTAATTGTTGTTGAAACCTTTTGCGCTGTTGCAGCAAAATGGAAACTGTGTTAATTATTCTGTTCCAACTGGCCACTGGAATCGGGTAATTAATATAAGTTGAAGTTCAATTACAGTTTTAAAAATAGTTTAACATTATTTATTAAACTGCTTCAAATGATTTCTAGTATCAACCAATTGGTCTCCAGAGACAATACTAAAATTAAAATAGTTGTTAAACTACTGACAAGTTTTCTGAAACCGAGCTTATGAACAACAGAGTAAAGGTCGCTGGTTAAGCCAGGATCAATATATTTGTTGAAGTTTTTATTGTGTGCATAATAAATGTGTTAAATTAATTGAGCAATTCTTTAAAAGTATAATGTTGCAATTTCTTTAAAATAGGTAATTACAGTTACAAAATAGGTGTTGTTTTCCAAGGGCCTCTCTTTCACAGGCACTTTGAATCATAACACTTCCAAGTCCTACAGAGATCAGTATCACTTTGTGTTGCAAGCCAAATCCAGGGGTTCTACTCGAGTCCAATTTTAAATACCATAAAGAAAAGTATTGAACCCAGCTCGAGCTAAATGTCAAATGTATTTAATTAATGTGCAAGTGTTTTGATTTATTTAAAATGTTCCAGTCTAGCTTCCTTCGAGTTTAATATAAACAACAGATTGGTTCTCATAACATTCTCACTGCTGTGCTGTCCCAAATGTTTTAAACCTTGGGCAGACAAGCACACACACACACTTTGGATGAGTAATCACTTCATCCAAATTGTAAATTGTTGCCTTCTTTAAAGTTATTAGTAATTCAAGATTAATTATTAAATTAAATTAGGTACATAACAATAAACAAAATAACTTTGACTTGATCATTTTGTTCACGACATTAGACCTTGTCCTCTAATCTCTACTAGAATAAGATAAGTGTGCATGTTTGGGTGTGGAACACTCCTGTAATGTACCTAATCTTGTTATCCTTTTCATTACAGAGCTGGGGAAATGGTGTATTGCTTAGATTCTGACCCGTGCAAAGTCCAATTTTGACTGACTTTAGTTTTAATGTTAATTTGATTTCAACCCATAAGTAATTATTTAGATTAACTCAACATTTCACATGATGATGGATTAGTGCTCCACATTTATCCCACTAATTTGTTGTGCAATTAGGCCAATGGTAAAGAGAGACATTGATGACCTTGTGTCCCTTTTGTTGGTACGTGGTTCCATTCTGTCTATGGCCTTGGACGGCTTCACTAAGAATCACCCAGTTCTGACACAGTTCTGAGTGCAGTAACAGAGATGCTATGGCTGCTCTACATGAAATGACATTAATGGTCTGGTCTGAGAATGGACACCATTACCTGCTTCCAGAGACAATGCCGCTCCTCAAACTGAACAATACTGTCTAACGTGGGCCACTCCCCCCACCAAGCCATGAACTGAAAGCTTGACATCTGAAAGAACACCTGGAAGCCTCCCGGTCACACCAGCACCAACCCTTGGGTCAGTCAGATGGGACTAACGGCTTCACTTAGGGCATTTGGTTCAGAAATATGACTCTCGTTACCGCAGAGTGGGTTGTTTTTTTAAGGCTATTCATACTGCTATGCAGAGGATGCCTGTAGGTTGGCAAGCTGTTAAAAGCCCCTACTATTTTTTTTAAAATAGGCCTAAATGTCAGGGGCCTCTTAATGTCTAGTTCTACATGTATTCACATTATATGGACAATGTTTCCACCTGGTGAAACTGAAGGCTGCACGGTACTCAGGCTACAATACGACCATTCTGTTCTGCTCTAACAATTCAATTGATAGATTCTACATCAAAACAATTAGCTTTTATTGTTTCCAATGATAACGTCATTTTAAGAGAAGGAATGCAAACCTGTTTTCAAATGTAAGGTTTTGAATGTGTTTGACATTTCTCAGTAATACCACCCTCAGACACTCACTATCATTTATGCTATGCCATCAGTAGTGACTCAGATGTTAAGGGGAAGAAGCTTTTCCTCCCAAATCAGATATGCTTTGTTTTTTTAACAAAGGTATGCATTTCCTGCATAATATATGTTTCTCACAATTGTTTGTTTTTTTTGTAAGCTGCACACAGGTGATACTGAGTCTTCTCGATTAATAGATTACACCATGCTTAAATAGACTCCTAAGTTATTATTTCATATGTGACATATGTAAGAAAAGGGAGGGAAGAGTCAATTATATTGAGTAATTGATTTTATATTGGAACATTTATTTCTCAAACCTGTTTTATGGAAGAGGAAAATATTTCTGATAAAGTAATATGTTATCAAACGGTAAATGGTGAATTAATATAACATTTAGAATCATTGAGAAGGGGTGATATCCGCAGGGACTAGCTCACCTTTAAATTACAATAACATTTCTCTGCTTTGGACTGATGAGTTTATGATTCTTGCATGTTAAATGACTAACACAAACCTTACATTTATGCATGTGCATGTCTCAGGAAGGCTCCCAAATAATTCTGAGGGGCCTATCCTATTTTTGTATTTAAATGATAATGTGCTAATCCATTACCTTGAGTTGTCTGCAATCAGGAAAACATCCCTATCAAGTGTTAACCCAATAACTACAGTAGGACAGCTCTGAAGGCCAAGGGTCAGAGAGAGAGCTACGTGGGTCCACGCCAGCCACTGCAAGGTCGTAGTCACAGACAAGGAGAAACAACAAAAGTAGATGACAACAAGTGATGTGTCCTAATCACCAACAAAAGTAGATGACAACAAGTGATGTGTCCTAATCACCAACTTGCACCACACTTGCACTACATACACCAAAACACACTACACACAAGGTATCACGAGCGAGTGCCAGCTGAGCGGTTCCATATGCTCTCTGGTTCCTCGTTTGTGTTACCGGTGTGCGGAGTCTGACTGTCCGTGTCACAACATCGACCGAGGGAATACACACACACACCCCATGGAGCATTCCCACCTCGTGATGACGGCTCGCCTGGGAAAACGACAACGCAACCGTGAGCAATACAACTGGCCTGGCCCAGTGATGTGGGGTTTAGCTCGCCACAAGATTACGTTTGGTTGTGCGGCGACAAGCTCTATCAAGTTCTGGCTCCCCTCTGGATAGGTACATGCACTCTAGTGGATTTGAATCCAGCAATCAGGCTTAACAACACTACTCTTTAATGTATTATCCATGCACAGAAAGACCTACAATGATGTTTCAAGTACTGGATTAATTTCAGTTTTGGCCCAAAACAAATATTTATAATATTTCATATAACAATTATGTAGCATATTTGATCCTCAAATTAGAGAAGTATAATTTAAAGAAATTGATATTCTCAACATTAGATAAACACAGAAGAATCCTTTCCAAGTACCATAAGTAGCTCAGGTAAGTATGGCTAATAGGAATACTTGATAGACTTAATTTGGTACAGATCAGTGGTAGCATTTACAAATGTAATAATTCAAGGTTTAAAAATGTGTAATCCTTCCTTTCCAGGTTTTTACAAACGTCTTTGAATATTTGCCTAACTTTTCCTTTTCAGATTTTGAACAATGTACTTGACTAAAATGAATGTATTGATTTCACTAAGTGCCTTACTCTTGACTAAAGGGTATTTAAGTAAACGTAAAAGTAATCCTAAAATTGAGGACACTGCACTTTTGCAGATTACAGATTGATCAAATCACCAGTGTGAATTCTATACTCTAACTGTGCATTTGTAGCTGGATCTCTTACGATCCTGAGTTTTAACATGCTTTTGACTAGTGATTGCCTTGAAGTAAATCTTTAAAGCGGCAAGCTGGTTTTGATTTTATAGTTTGATGAATGAAATTAACTAATGGTAAATGATAAAAAAATATTAGTTTAAAAACAAATATTTAGCCATTGTGCACCTGTGTTTTATGTGTGTTCATTATTATGCTTTTGACAAAAGATGATCAAACACTGATGAGAGATGATTTTTTCTATTATGATTGGCTGTATCAATCATTGTGATTGAATGTTTCAATCTTATTCTACTTTGTGATGTAATTAATGTAAGGTGAGACCACACTCGAATCTGGAGACGCCTATTGAGTTAATTATTGACCAAATTATTATTAGACTAATGTTTTTAGGTTATCATAAATGATAAAAAGAGAGGACTGTTGTGGAAATAATTATCATAAGACGCCAATTAGTAACATACAGGACAAACCTTGATGTCTGTTTACCTTCTTTAAGGACACAGGCGGCTTAGCCAATAATGTTATTGTTCCCATTCTGTGACCGGTCAATACTGGGATACAGATGGTCTGTGTTGTGGGTACACTGGGACACTTCCTTCTCTGTATTTGTGGACTCCAAGGTAAAATCTTCGAGGTCATAAGTGTCCGAGGCAAGTAGCTCTGTGTTCCCACACTGTTTAGGCTATCTCCTCAAAATATGTTGTTTACTCTCTGCGAAACCAGTTAGATGGGCTGGCAAGAGAGAGGCTCTCCAGAATTGACGTGGCAACTCTACCGTGAAGTCAGAACCTCTGACTCTTGGACTTGTGATGTGAATCCTCCGGCCGTTAACTCCAAATAAACCATCATGTGTTTGACATCAAAGCTACTGCTCTTCCCGTGTCTCCTTCCTGAGTCGGTGACTCCCACTGCATAGCTACACAGAAGTTTCCATTACAGAACACATCTTTGAAATCAGCAAGAAACTTTCCTTTGTTTTCGTTCAGACATCTGTAGGGATCCTTCTTTTGGATGAAATCTTGATGCATTCTCTGAAACCTTCTGGCTGCGTCTGCACAGATGTGCTGTTTCAGAGAGACTTCAAAAGTGATGTCTGTTCCAACTTCCTGATTGTTTTACAGGCTCTCATCAATCTTTTTTAAAATCTCATTGATGTAGGTATCATGGTAATGACTCTTTCTTTGCATTTTTTCATTCACCATCTGTGAGCAAACTGTAATGATGCCGACAGATGAAAGCTTTAGCGCAAGTTCAATAAGGAAGACCTAACACGAGTCACTTACACGTCACTCTATGGCTCCCTTCCCCCCTCATTAAATATGAGGGCGTCACCCCTCAGCAGCCAATAGCTGCACATGCTAAAGGCCTTAAATGCCTGCTATTCCTCCCTGTCAGTTGTCATTTGCAGATGACCGCAACCAGTAGCAGTAATACTACTCCTCCTCGTGAGAAAAAACAAACAGAAAACTAGCGCAAGATGTCCAACTCGGACAATTCAGACGAACCTGGCATGGATATCTTTGATCCCGGTTCGACTCCCCACAGCGGCCTATCATCGGAGGTAGACTTCCTCATCGCCCGACTCCAGCAGCAGGGCATCCCCACAGCTCCAGGCCTCACTCTCTCGCAGCTCCGAGAGCTCTCGGATCAGGTCTCCAGCACAGCTCCCCAGCCCGGGGAAGCAGCCCCAAGCAGCTCCCCAGAGAGACCAAGGCGAGGACGCGGCCGAGGACGCGGCCGAGGCCGCGGAGGAAAAAGGACCAGGAAATCGAACCCTCCAGGACACCGTCCGCCTCCCAAGTCCACCCCTTCCCAGGTTCACCAGGCCGGGAGCGGGGAGAACAGCGTGGCCAGCGCCCTGCAATCCCTGAATAGCTCCATAAGAGCCATCGATGCTCGCCTTCAGGCCATTGAAGACTCCGGCACAGGAGCATCAACGTCTGTCGCACTCAGAGCAGCGCTCGCTGCCCCAGTCCCGCTGGGGTTTTCAGGTCAGGGTGTTCCACGCATCCCAGCGGCAGATAATCCTTATTCTCTGGCTTCGGCCCTCCCAGCCCCCCCTGCAGGTTGTTAGAGATTTGGAGGGATAACTGGTCCGCTTTTCAAATCTCCGCGCGTTCCTATGAAGCTGGTTATAATACAGGAAGGAATCCATATCTACAAAGTAACCGTTAACAATAATCTACTTTAATGGCAATATGACAATGCAATACAATCATTACAATACAACATGATATATTACAGTTATATTGTAATGCTTAAGGAGTAATGCCGGCTTACTCCTGCCCTGGTTCGCATACTGCAGAGCTACTTTCACCCGAGGGCAGCATGTGAAGAAGAGGCCGAACGCCAGGGATCCACCGGATATATACCAGAGTAAGAAGGAGGGGTTTGGTGTTAGGTCAGCTGGTCATCTTTTCAGGTCATCTCATTGGGAGACGCAACGCAGCAGGAAACGCAGCAGGAAACCAAACAGGCTCACTTTCCAACAAAAGGTCTCAAGGCCTGCATACCTACACCTCCCCCACAGAGCAATAAAACCCTGTTTACTCCAACCAGCCCAGAATGTTTATAGCCATTTGTAGTCCTTACATTTATGAAAGGATAAAACAGAGAAATCAATATAAAACACAAACACAGGTATTGTTTGAACAGTATTCACTTAACTGCTACTGTTGATAACCACCAGAGAAACCCAAGGGACCTCTCTTAATATTACAACCACTGTAGCTTGTTCTAAGTTGAATGCAAATCAGGACATGCTCTCACCTTCCCCCATCTTCCTTTGTCCTCAAAAACACATGTCAACAGGCCCCAAATGCAGCTCACAGTTTTACCCAAATTATTCCCATTTTAAGCTTATCCATAGTTTGCTAACATGAATAAATACAAATATAACTCTACAAGGTAGGCCTTTTATTTCCCAAGCCGCTAACATCTCCACACGGCTTAGGTCAAAAATTCTTGAAGGGAAGGATGTTAACCTGCTTAGCCTTATTCTGCCCTCCCCGGAGTGCGATAAAGCCATCGCCACAGGAGGAAATATCACCACCGTCTTTAAGACCGCAGACCCCAGGCTCATCAGAGACATCAGCGTAGGGCAATTCATGGTAGCTTTCGGCATTTTCCGTGACGTAATCTGCTCCGTCTACCCTGAGAGAAGAGCAGAATTAGATGCATACATGGCCATTATCGGAGATATCAACCTTAGATACGGGAAATCCATCTTCTACCAGTATCACAAGAGCTTTTCTAGTAAAGCAGCGCTTCACCTAGCGCATAGCAATATCCGCCTCGACTGGTCAGTGATGGACATCGAGCTGCTCGTGATGGCTACCGGCGGGCAATCCGCTATTTCCTGCAACAGCTGCGGAGCGCAGGGCCACATTGCTGCCCTCTGCCCATCAGTGCCTTTCTCCGCGCCCAGAGCCTCTCACATGCAGTATTCTGGAATCGATAGACCAAACCGTCAGGTGCCCACGAGATACGAAGATAAACTCTGCGCTAGATTCAACGAAAATGTTTGTACTCACCCCTATTGTTCATTTCTCCATATCTGTAGTTTCTGCAGGGAGGCACACCCGAAGTCCGTATGCCCCAGGCGCAACCAAAACCTAGTAGCTCTGCGCCAGAAACCTCGTGGCGGAAAAACATTCTGAAACATCACCCCTCCACTCCCATTAACATCCCTCAGCTAGCAGCTGCGCTATCCACCCACCCAGATTCCGTGTTCGTGGACTATCTCCTATCAGGGCTCTCCCAAGGCTTCACGGTAGGGGTCCTCTCATCTCCCACAGTTACTTTCGTAGCAAAAAATCTTCAGTCAGCCGCTAAAGAACCTAACATAGTCTCCCAGCTCATCGACAAAGAACTCCAAAAAGGATATATAATCGGTCCCTTTAGCTCCTCCCCCTTCCCAGTGTTCCGTTCAAATCCCATCGGAATAGCCACACGCAAGTACTCCGGAAAGAAAAGGCTGATTTTCGATCTGTCCGCTCCCCGTTCCGGCCCATTTCGCAGCGTCAATAGTATCATCCCTTCAGAACAGTTCTCCCTTCACTATGCCTCAGTGGACAATGCAATCAAATTGATTAAGTTCACAGGGCACGGAGCATGGCTCTCCAAAGCGGACATTACTGACGCCTTCAAAATCATTCCTATTCACCCGTCCCAGTGGAATCTGTTCGGCATTAAGTGGGAGTCCAAATTTCATTTCGCCGTTCGCCTAACCTTCGGGTGCAGAAGCAGCCCCTGCATTTTTAACTCCTTCTCGGAAGCGCTTTGCTGGATCCTGCTGAACATAGTTAGAATCCCCTCCGTCCTTCACCTACTGGACGACTTCCTCCTCATAGATCCGCCACAGGACAGTTCAGGGACTTCACTAGGCAAACTAAAACACTGCTTTCAGGAGTTAGGCGTCCCCCTCTCCAAGGAGAAAACGTTAGGTCCCAACACAAGCCTAGAGTTCTTAGGCATCACCCTCGACTCTATAGAGATGAAGGCATCTCTCCCCTCAGACAAACTGCAGCGCATCCGGGACATCACAAAATCATACTGCGAGCAACACATCATCACAAAACAACAGTTGCTCTCCCTTCTAGGACACCTCAACTTCGCCATGCGCGTCATCCCCCAGGGGCGCTCGTTCATCTCCCGCCTCCTGGACACAGCATCAGCGGTCGACAATCTTCATGACCGCGTTCTCCTAGACGAAGGCTGCCGCTCAGACTTACGTTTCTGGTCTCTCCTGCTCGCCCACTGGAACGGAGTTACTTTTTCTATGATGACCTTGCGTGTTCCTCCGACTCAATCAGGTTTTTCACGGATGCCGCCCCATCCGTGGGTTTTGGGGGTTTCTTTCAGGGCGAGTGGTTCGCAGGGTCCTGGCCCCCGTCATTCCCTAATCATGCCTCATCCTCCGCTCTGCACGAGATATTCCCAATCGCTGTTGCATGCCACGTATGGGGTCACCTGTGGTTCCGTAAACGCATCTCGGTGCTGTGCGACAACCAATCAGTGGTTGGAATAATCAATAAGGCGCGCTCCCAGTGCAGCGACATCATGCCATTCATGAGAAGCATTACGCGTTCCTCCATAATCCACAACTTCATCATCACAGCTCGCCACATCCCCGGTCACCTCAATGTCGTCGCTGACTCCCTCTCTCGCTTTCATTTTCATACATTCCGGAGCCTCTGCCCGGAAGCCAGCCCGCAACCAGTCGGAATCCCTCCACTTCATCTCCTCTCTCTGCACTAATCAAGAGTCCCCTAGCTCGGCACCTCGAGTCCGCCAGATTCTACATGAGAAAGGGCTTAGCCGCATCCACCCTCAGATCCTATGATTTCGCATGGAGAACGTTCGCTTTCTTCTGCCGCTCAGTAAACAAGCAAGTCCTCACTAAATCCGGCCTATCACCTACATCATACTCAGGAAATTCCTTTAGGATAGGTGCAGCCACCTCGGCTGCTAATCAAGGTCTCTCCACCTCATCCCTTCAACAACTAGGACGGTGGACCTCCTCCGCCTTCGCAACCTACATTCGCCCAGACATCAGCACCGTACTGGCTCCCCAAAGATCTCCCGGACCCTAACTATGGTAGCTATACATATAACTGGTGGTGGCTCATAAACACATTCAAAAGTATACATGTCTCACTAAGGTTCCCGATATTCAAAACTGCATTCCTGTCCTAATTCCGCGGGCCCCGCCCACAGGGAATAATGTCTCGTCTCACGCTGCAACTACATGTAACAGGCTTCATCTCCGGCACACAGGTATTTCATTCCCAGGCCTTGCTCAAACGTATCAGTGTAAAATGTATTTCCTGCAGTCTGCGTGGACTCGGGCCACCGTACACTCCGGTGTCAGTTACAAAACAAAGGAAAATAAAGAAAGAGAAAAGAGTATAGAAAAAGATATATAGCCTGCGAAGTCAGGCGTGGCGGAAGGCCACCGTACACTCCGGTGTCAGTTACAAAACAAAGGAAAAGAAAGAAAGAGAAAAGAGTAAAGAAAAAAAAATATATATATAGCCTGCGAAGTCAGGCGTGGCGGAAGGCCACCGTACACTTCGTTGTCAGTTACAAAACAAAGGAAAAAGAAATAAAGAGTAAAGAAAAAGATATATATATATTAGGGCCGGGACTTTAACGCGTTAATTAAGATTAATTAATTACACAAAAATTAACGCGTTAAAAAAATTAACGCATTTTAATCGCACTTATTTTTGCACCGCGGAACTTTTCTCACTGGATGAGTTTCAGGCGTACCGATTATACTGGAGCACCAACTAACGTTCATGACTTCAGACAACAAACCACAGTGAACAACAGTGGGATATGTTGTTTAAAAAAACGGACGGATGGAAGCGTCGATAAGAGCACGGTTGTGTGCAAATTATGCAAAAAGGAATTCGCATATCACCGC